CCAGGACACAGTGGGAGGGGTCCAATGGGGGGACCGCCGTGCTTAAAGGCCCAGAGACACAGTGGGAGGGGGTCCAATGGGGGGACCGCCGGTGCTTAAAGGCCCAGACACAGTGGGAGGGGTCCAATGGGGGGACCGCCGTGCTTAAAGGCCCCTGACACAGTGGGAGGGTCCAATGGGGGGACCGCCGTGCTTAAAAGGCCCTGACACAGTGGGAAGGGGTCCAATGGGGGGACCGCCGTGCTTAAAGGCCCCTGACACAGTGGGAGGGGGTCCAATGGGGGGACCGCCGTGCTTAAGGAAGGCCCTGACACAGTGGGAGGGGTCCAATGGGGGGACCGCCGTGCTTAAAGGCCCTGACACAGTGGGAGGGGTCCAATGGGGGGGCCCGCCGTGCTTAAAGGGCCCCTGACACAGTGGGAGGGGTCCAATGGGGGGACCGCCGTGGCTTAAAGGCCCTGACACAGTGGGAGGGGTCCAATGGGGGGACCGCCGTGCTTAAAGGCCCTTGACACAGTGGGAGGGGTCCAATGGGGGGACCGCTGTGCTTAAAGGCCCTGACACAGTGGGAGGGGTCCAATGGGGGGACCGCCGTGCTTAAAGGCCCTGACACAGTGGGAGGGGTCCAATGGGGGGACCGCTGTGCTTAAAGGCCCTGACACAGTGGGAGGGGTCCAATGGGGGGACCGCCGTGCTTAAAGGCCCTGACACAGTGGGAGGGGTCCAATGGGGGGGGACCGCTGTGCTTAAAGGCCCTGACACAGTGGGAGGGGGTCCAATGGGGGGACCGCTGTGCTTAAAGGCCCTGACACAGTGGGAGGGGTCCAATGGGGGGGACCGCTGTGCTTAAAGGCCCTGACACAGTGGGAGGGGTCCAATGGGGGGACCGCCGTGCTTAAAGGCCCAGACACAGTGGGAGGGGTCCAATGGGGGGACCGCCGTGCTTAAGGCCCTGACACAGTGGGAGGGGGTCCAATGGGGGGACCGCCGTGCTTAAAGGCCCAGACACAGTGGGGAGGGGTCCAATGGGGGACCGCCGTGCTAAAGGCCCTGACACAGTGGGGAGTGGTCCAATGGGGGGACCGCCGTGCTTAAAGGGACCCAGACACAGTGGGAGGGGTCCAATGGGGGGGACCGCCGTGCTTAAAGGCCCAGACACAGTGGGAGGGGTCCAATGGGGGGACCGCCGTGCTTAAAGGCCCTGACACAGTGGGAGGGGTCCAATGGGGGGACCGCCGTGCTTAAAGGCCCAGACACAGTGGGAGGGGTCCAATGGGGGGACCGCGTGCTTAAAGGCCCAGACACAGTGGGAGGGGTCCAAGGGGGGACCGCCGTGCTTAAAGGCCCTGACACAGTGGGAGGGGTCCAATGGGGGGACCGCCGTGCTTAAAGGCCCTGACACAGTGGGAGGGGTCCAATGGGGGGACCGCCGTGCTTAAAGGCCCTGACACAGTGGGAGGGGTCCAATGGGGGGACCGCCGTGCTTAAAGGCCCTGACACAGTGGGAGGGGTCCAATGGGGGGACCGCCGTGCTTAAAGGCCCAGACACAGTGGGAGGGGTCCAATGGGGGGACCGCCGTGCTTAAAGGCCCTGACACAAGTGGGAGGGGTCCAATGGGGGGACCGCCGTGCTTAAAGGCCCTGACACAGTGGGAGGGGTCCAATGGGGGGACCGCCGTGCTTAAAGGCCCTGACACAGTGGGAGGGGTCCAATGGGGGGACCGCCGTGCTTAAAGGCCCAGACACAGTGGGAGGGGTCCAATGGGGGGACCGCCGTGCTTAAAGGCCCAGACAACAGTGGGAGGGGTCCAATGGGGGGACCGCCGTGCTTAAAAGGCCCCTGACACAGTGGGAGGGGGTCCAATGGGGGGACCGCCGTGCTTAAAGGCCCAGACACAGTGTGGAGGGGTCCAATGGGGGGACCGCCGTGCTTAAAGGCCCCTGACACAGTGGGAGGGGTCCAATGGGGGGGCCGCCGTGCTTAAAGGCCCTGACACAGTGGGAGGGGTCCAATGGGGGGGACCGCCGTGCTTAAAGGCCCTGACCAGTGGGAGGGGTCCCAATGGGGGGACCGCCGTGCTTAAAGGCCCAGACACGTGGAGGGGTCCAATGGGGGGGACCGCCGTGCTTAAAGGCCCTGACACAGTGGGAGGGTCCAATGGGGGGACCAGCCGTGCTTAAAGGCCCTGACACAGTGGTAGGGGTCCAATGGGGGGACCGCCTGTGCTTAAAGGCCCTGACACAGTGGGAGGGGTCCAATGGGGGGACCGCCGTGCTTAAAGGCCCTGACAACAGTGGGAGGGGTCCAATGGGGGGACCGCCTGTGCTTAAAGGCCCTGACACAGTGGGAGGGGTCCAATGGGGGGACCGCCGTGCTTAAAGGCCCTGACACGTGGGGAGGGGGTCCAATGGGGGGACCGCTGTGCTTAAAGGGCCCTGACCAGTGGGAGGGGTCCAATGGGGGGGACCGCTGTGCTTAGAAGGCCCCTGACACAGTGGGGGAGGGGTCCCAATTGGGGGGGACCGGCTGTGCTTAAAGGCCCTGACACAGTGGGAGGGGTCCAATGGGGGGACCGCCGTGCTTAAAGGCCCTGACCACAGTGGGAGGGGTCCAATGGGGGGACCGCCGTGCTTAAAGGCCCATGACACAGTGGGAGGGGTCCAATGGGGGGACCGCCGTGCTTAAAGGCCCTGACACAGTGGGAGGGGTCCAATGGGGGGGACCGCCGTGCTTTAAAAGGCCCTGACACAGTGGAGGGTCCAATGGGGGGGACCGCGTGCTTAAAGGCCCTGACACAGTGGGAGGGGTCCAATGGGGGGACCGCCGTGCTTAAAGGCCCTAGACAAGTGGGAGGGGGTCCAATGGGGGGACCGCCGTGCTTTAAAGGCCCTGACACAGTGGGAGGGGTCCAATGGGGGGACCGCCGTGCTAAAGGCCCCTGACACAGTGGGAGGGGTCCAATGGGGGGACCGACCCGTGCTTAAAGGCCCTGACACGTGGGAAGGGGGTCCCTACACTTGGGGGGACCCGCCGGGCTTACTAAAGGCCCCTGACACAGGGTTGGGGGAGGGGTCCAAATGGGGGGGACCGCCGTGGCTAAAAGGCCCCAGACAAACAGTGGGAGGGGTTCCCAATGGGGGGACCGCCGTGCCTTAAAAGGAGGCCCTGAAACAGTGGGAGGGGTCCATGGGGGGGACCGCCGTGCTTAAGGCCCTGACACAGTGGGAGGGGTCCAATGGGGGGACCGCTGTGCTTAAAGGCCCGGACACAGTGGGAGGGGTCCAATGGGGGACCGCCGTGCCTTCAAAGGCCCTGACACAGTGGGAGGGGTCAATGGGGGACCCGCTGTGCTTAAGGCCCTGACACAGTGGGAGGGGTCCAATGGGGGGGACCGCCGTGCTTAAAGGCCCTGACCACAGTGGGAGGGGGTCCAATGGGGGGGACCGCTGTGCTTAAAGGCCCTGACACAGTGGGGGGGTTCCAATGGGGGGACCGATGTGGCTTAAATGCCCTTACACAGTGGGAGGGGTCCAATTGGGGGGACCCGGTGCTTAAGAAGGCCCTGACACAGTGGGAGGGGTCAATGGGGGGACCGCCCGTGCTTAAAGGCCCAGACACTCGCCGACAGTTCCATCAGAGAGTTCGCCTGCGTCCTTGGCCGTGTGTCGCACTGGAACACAAAAGACTTCAGACCAAGCCGGACACGTACGGGACTGCGCATTCAGCGTGAGTGGCAATAACTCTTCCTTACCAGCAGGCGGCGGTAAGTGTGTATTCGTCATTCAAAAGAGGCACAACCGGAAGACAGAAAGAAACAGACTGATATAAACAAACAACAAATAGCGTGTGCGTTCCATTTTCACTCTCGTCCATCGAAAACATGTTTTAGAATATAAAAATACATGAATGATGAAATGAGCACATAAAGTGCATACTATCACATCACAGTTAATAGACCTGCGTCTGATGATCGCAGTGTTCTGGAGGGTGTGTCGTTTATTGACTCAGCAATGTAGTAATGTATGTAATGTCATAATGGCCACTTCTTGCTGAATGTACATTTCCATGTGATGCTTTTATCCGAGGCGACTCACAATAGGTAAATGAACAGCAGTAGATCTCATTTACTTAGACACTGGACTTAAGGACAATGTTGAGGTACTTGAGACTAATCCTGCAACTTGACCAAACAAATCACGGAGCTCTCAGCAGAGGACAGCCGGGGACGCTCCGGCCGATATCAGAGATGTCCCTGCTATGTGTGGGAGGTAAGAGAGGACATTTAAGAGCTATGTTTGATGTCTTTAAGTATCACCTGCTGGTGTTTAGCTGCTGTCCTGTGCCTTCTTCAATCCTTTGTTTACGTCCCTCACTTCCGTTTCGCTTCTCATTTGCTAGCTGAACAGCTGATCAGAGTGCTTTCTTGGCCCGATAGCTTGTGTCCGACACACGGCCGATTCAACATGTTGAATCGGCCGTGTGTCGACCGTGAAAGGCCAAATAAGGCGTGTCACGGCCGAGGGTTCGGGACACACCAAATTGACTTTGGGCGACAAGGAACGCTTTGTCGCCAGACAACCAAAGACGGCCGAATACAGCCTGGTGTGTCAGGGCCTTAAGGTCTACAACACCAAGTTGTCTTTGTGTATTTGTGAATGAAGCTCCATCTCATGGTTCAATCCTGTAATTGAACAAATGGGGAATTTGGCAACGCCCTCTAGCAATTTGGCAACGCCCTCTAGCAATTTGGCAACGCCCCCAGCCACTGGGATCCGCTGGGTTTTTGGTTGGAATCCGCACATTGAGTCCTATCTGGAGTGCTACATCTGTAGTTCCCCTCTGGTTCCCCTCTGGTTCCCCTCTGGTTCCCCTGTAGTTCCCCTCTGGTTCCCCTGTAGTTCCCCTCTGGTTCCCCTGTAGTTCCCCTCTGGTTCCCCTCTGGTTCTCCTCTGGTTCCCCTCTGGTTCCCCTGTAGTTCCTCTGTGGTTCTCAGACTCACGTCTATGGAGCAGCCCATCAGGGACCCTCGGTTCTGGGCCTTCTGGATGATGTGGAACAGATGTGGGTCGGGGCTGCTCAGCTCGTGGACCTCAGCGATTCCTCCAGTGAAATCCTCGAAGCCTTCGGTGGTGGAAACCTCCAGAGAGAGGCCTCGTAGCAGCCATTGATCCTGCAGAGAACACATAACACCTCAGAGACAGGAAGCTGGAGCAGAGAGAACTCAATGAGGATCATTTATCTCATGGGGAGAACAGGTGTTATCTCATTGTGAGTCTCTCCTCAGATCCAGGGCGTTTCAGTGAACACTCCCTCTCTTCACTAATGTTTGAAAGAACAAGTCAAAATGTGCTTCATGTCGATGACGGAGCTGTTTGTAAAAGTGTGTGTGCAGGGCGGGGCTGGATGCCATGACATGTCAGAACAACCCTGACAGTTTACCACACACACACACAGTGTGACTCAGAGTGTGTGTGACTCAGAGTGTGTGTGTGTGTGTATGTGTGTGTGTGTGTGTGTGTGTGTGTGTGTGTGTCTCTCTTACTTGGCGTAGGCTTTCTCCAGCAGAGCGCTCCAGAACTCCTTCCCCTCAGCAGAGTGAACGAACAGCAGCTCTCCGTCTTTTCACCGGCAGCCGGTCGTCGATCACAACGTCCACCCACTCCCCGAACTGCCAGAACTACACACACAGTGAAGACTTTTACTTTGAAAATCCCCACTCCCAGAACTGCCAGAACTACACACACAGTGAAGACTTTTACTTTGAAAATCCCCACTCCCAGAACTGCCAGAACTACACACACAGTGAAGACTTTTACTCTGAAAATCCCCACTCCCCGAACTGCCAGAACTACACACACAGTGAAGACTTTTACTTTGAAAATCCCCACTCCCCGAACTGCCAGAACTACACACACAGTGGAGACTTTTACTTTGAAAATCCCCACTCCCCGAACTGCCAGAACTACACACACAGTGGAGACTTTTACTTTGAAAATCCCCACTCCCCAAACTGCCAGAACTACACACACAGTGGGAGACTTTTACTTTGAAAATCCCCACTCCCCAAACTGCCCAGAACTACACACACAGTGGAGACTTTTACTTTGAAAATCCCACTCCCCAACTGCCAGAAACTACACACACAGTGAATCGCACTGGGAAATGTAGCTTCCTGTATATAGAGTATTCTTTGTACCTGGAAGTGGAAGATGCCGGCATATTCTCCGTTATCGAAGCTCTGTCCGTGAGGGACGACTCGAGCCAGGACTTCCTGGTTCAGAGTCAAAGAGGCGATGGCGGCCAGCAGCCACCTGACAGACAGGAAGGGGCGGGGCTTAGTCAGTAACCTAACAGCTAATATGGTACAGTACACAAAATAACATGTAAACAACAGTGTGTGTGTGTGTGTGTGTGTGTGTGTTCTCACCGAGCCCCCCTGACAGATGTCGGTCCTCGAGGCTCCAGAAACGATGAACTGGGGTCAGAGGTCAACTCCTGCAACACACACACACTGAGGCTGAGAGAATAATAACAACGACAACAATAATAATACTTATAAAATAACAATAATAAAATGTATCAGCTCTGGGATCGAACACTGTCTTTAATCTGAATCTCAGTCTGACCCTGTGACTGGGAACAGCTCATATCCTCTGTAGAACCCTCAGAACCCTGTAGTACACTTTTGGTGTATTTTGTGGCGATAGTACAGCGCCACTTACAGGCCCGGCATATGTACTACAGCGTCTCCAGTGGGTCGAGCGGTCTCGTGTGGACGGACACATTTCTTGAGCCGATAACGTGTGGACGGAAGACTTTTTTTAAATCGAATTCGGTTCATTTGTTTCCGTTCCCGTGTAAACAGTGCCTTAGATGAGTGCGTGTGTGTGTTAGATGAGTGTGTGTGCGTGTTAGATGAGTGTGTGTGCGTGTGTGTGTTAGATGAGTGTGTGTGCGTGTTAGATGAGTGTGTGTGTGTGTTAGATGAGTGTGTGTGCGTGTGTGTGTTAGATGAGTGTGTGTGCGTGTTAGATGAGTGTGTGTGTGTTAGATGAGTGTGTGTTAGATGAGTGTGTGTGTGTGCGTGTTAGATGAGTGTGTGTGTGTGTTAGATGAGTGTGTGTGCGTGTTAGATGAGTGTGTGTGTGTGTTAGATGAGTGTGTGTGCGTGTGTGTGTTAGATGAGTGTGTGTGCGTGTGTGTGTTAGATGAGTGTGTGTGCGTGTTAGATGAGTGTGTGTGTGTGTTAGATGAGTGTGTGTGTGTTAGATGAGTGTGTGTGTGTGCGTGTTAGATGAGTGTGTGTGCGTGTTAGATGAGTGTGTGTGTGTGTTAGATGAGTGTGTGTGTGTGCGTGTTAGATGATGTGTGTGTGTGTTGATGAGTGTGTGTGCGTGTTAGATGAGTGTGTGTGTGTGTTAGATGAGTGTGTGTGTGTGTTAGATGAGTGTGTGTGCGTGTTAGATGAGTGTGTGTGTGTGGCGTGTTAGATGAGTGTGTGTGCGTGTTAGATGAGTGTGTGTGTGTGTTAGATGAGTGTGTGTGGTCGTGTGTGTTAGATGAGTGTGTGTGTGTGCGTGTTAGATGAGTTGGGTGTGTGTGCGTGTTAGATGAGTGTGTGTGTGTGTGTTAGATGAGTGTGGGTGTGTTGTGTTAGATGAGTGTGTGTGCATGTGTGTGTTAGATGAGTGTGTGGTGTGTGTTTGTAGATGATTGTGGTGTGCGTGTGTGTGTTTAGATGAGTTGTTTGTGTGTGCGTGTTAGATGA